GGGGCATTGAAAATTGGGGTTTTGGGGAAATGTTTTGTTAGGGGAGAATTTTAAAGGACCTCCCATAGGGGGCCAAAAGGGCCCCCTGCAGTGTTCCCCTTTCTTATGTTCTTATGTCCCAAGAATATTTTCCGGGCAAGGAAGAGGGTTGGCAAGTTTGCTAACACCTTATCATATTAAAGGCCAAAAAAGATTAGGATGATAAAAATGGGGAACACTTTGGGTGCTTTATGTTTGGAAATATTTCATTAACCAGTGGATTTATCAGTCAGTTATAGAGAAGAGAAAAGTTAATATGAGGTGATCAGTCCCTCAGTCTCAATAGGAGGTGTTTTGATTTATCAAGGCCTCAGCCTTGATAAAAATAAAGTAGATATAACAAACAAAGTTTATTTCTTTGCAGTGTTACATTAAGATTATGAAATTACAATAATGGGGTACAGTGCAAAGAGAGCCACTTATCATGCCTAGGCATTATGGGCAGACTTAATTTAATGGCTTACGTACTGCTTAATACGAAAGGAATTGTTCATAGTTTGTTTAAGGTATACTTCTTTGTTTATAGCAGACAGTAGTTTTATTCTAATTACAATATGTAGTTTCATTAATGAATTTTGAAATGAAATTATAGGAATATAACATTGTGAGTTGTTGAAAGTATGTAGTAACAGTATAAGAATGCTACAATTGGGTGTAAGGCTGTATTGTTTTGGTAGGTATTTATACTACAAAGTAGGATTAACCCTTAAACTGTCCGAATGTAAATATACATTGACATGCGGCAGGCTCCGAACGTAGCTCTACATTTTTTTTACACGCTTTCAAATGTGGAAAATCAATGTCAGAGCGCTACGCATGTGAACGTAGATCTGCGTTTTGACAGTTTAAGGGTTAATAATGTATGAACTTTGGGCATCTAGACTTGAAGTTAAAAATTTGGATAGTTGTTTTGGTAAAAGTTTAATATTGAGTATTGAGTATTTAGTTTAGGGTGAGTCGGTTGTTTTTGAGAAGAGCCTTAAACTGGTGTTCAGACCTGGTTACTTTAGTATTTACTGGTAATGAATTCCAAATTTTGGGGCCCTTTATGTGCATAGAGTTTTTACACAGTGAGATATGGACAAGGGGTACATAAAAAAAAGATCTGTGTCTTGTGTTGTGGCTGTGTGTCCTATTTAGGTTGGTGAGGAGAAATTTGAGTGGAGGGTTTATGTTTTGAGTGTAGTGTTCTATGTATGTAGTAGGCACATGAATAAGTATGGATGTTCTTAATGGTGAGCAGTTTTAGACCTTAGAATATTGGTGGAGTATGTTGTTGGGAGTGGGAATTTATCATCATTCTGACTGCAGCCTTTTGCTGGGTTATTAGTGGTTTTAGGTGATTTAATGTTGTTGATCCCCATGCACAAATTCCATGTGTGTGATAAGGGTAGGTGAGTGAATGATACAGTGCAAGGAGAGCTGATTGTGGAACATAGTACCGTATCTTTGATAGTATGCCCACTGTCTTAGAGATTTTCTTAGAAATTTGTTGAATGTGTGTCTGGAATTTGAGGCTGCTGTCAAGGTGGATTCCTAGGAATATTCCCTCTGTGAGTCTTGTGATGGAGACATAAATACTGGAAACAGGTGTTGCACAAGTCTTATTCATTTACTTGTCAGTTTTGTATATCATTATTATTATAATACAGTGGTACCCTGAGTTTCGTACAGCTCCCAACTCGAACAATTATGTAAGTGTATTATTGTAAGTGCTTTTGTAAGTGTATTTTTGGGGGTCTGAAACGGATGAATCTAATTTACATTATTCCTTATGGGAACAAATTTGTTCGATAACAGCACTTGAACAGCCTTCTGGAACGAATTATGACTGAAACTCGGGGTACCACTGTATCTGTCTTAGAATCTTGGTACATAGAATTTTTCTACAATTCTAATGCTTTCTTCTTAACCTATAGGTGTGACCTACTTTCACTAGTGATCTCTGCCCACCTGTGACACCATTTCTACTTTCTTCACTTCACCTCTCTCTGGTATAAAGTATCCATCCTTGTACATCTGCTTTAGATTTATCAAGGCTGAGGGACTGAACATCTATCGAAGCTGAGAGACAGATCACCTGATATTACCTCTTCCTGCTGTCCACCATTTGTTTTCTGTATTAAACTAAGTCACTGGTTGGTGAAATGTCTTCATATATCTTTTTTCATTCTAGCACTTTGTGCTGACATTTCGTGGTTTAAATAGATACCTGGGAATTAGTTAACTGTTGTGGGTTGCATTGTGAAGGAGGACCTGAAGAAGGATCCCAAAATAAATATGCCATACTCCTTAGCTTTACTACTTTGTGCTGCCTGAGTGACTAGTTTAGTGTTCACCCCATCCTTCATTTTGTGAGCAGTAGTGCAAAAATACAATTATAGAGGTCACAATTGGTCTTTGTCACACTCCACTGAGTATAGTTACCTTTTTTTAAAGATAGTCGTTGCATATACATATAGTATGTTATTACATCCTCATATTTTGAATGTTGGACAGGAAAATAACCATGCCACATGTAAACTAAATAATGTAGATGTTAATATTACGGATTGCTAAAAGGATTTAGGAGTTCTGGTTAGCAGTAATCAGAAACCAAGACAACAGTGCATAAGTGTTTGCAATAAAGCTAACAGAATCCTTGGCTTCATAGCAAGAAGTATAAATAATAGAAGTCTTCAGGTTGTTCTTCAACTCTATATATCTTTGGTTAGGCCTCATTTAGATTATGCTGTGCAGTTTTGGTCACCGTATTACAGAATGGATATAAATGCACTGGAAAGCGTACAAAGGAGGATGACAAAGCTGATCCCATGTATCACAAATCTTCCTTATGGGGATAGACTGAGGGCCCTGACTCTGCACTCTCTAGAAAGGCATAGAATCAGGGGGGATATGATTGAGTTGTATAACTGGAAAACAGGAATTAATACAGGGGATGTAAGTAGCGTGCTAAAAATATCTAACATCGACAGGACTTGCAGCAATGGTTTTAAATTGGAAAAATTCAGATTCAGGAAGGATATAGGAAAGCACTGGTTTGGTAATAGTTGTAGATGAGTGGAACAAACTCCCGAATACCATCGTAGAAGCTAAAACGTTGTGTAGTTTAAAAATACGTTGGATAAATACATGAGTGGGTGTGGGTGGGTGTGAGTTGGACCTGACTAGCATGTGCTACTAGGTCAGATGCCATGCTCCTCCCTTAAGTGATGTGACTGACCTGACTAGGTCAAGGCATTGGCTTAAGCCAGTGGGAGAATTGGACCTGCCTCGCATAGGCCAATAGGCCTGATGCAGTGTTCCTTCTTTCTTTTTTTTTTTTTTTTTTATTATCACACCGGCCGATTCCCACCAAGGCAGGGTGGCCCGAAAAAGAAAAACTTTCACCATCATTCACTCCATCACTGTCTTGCCAGAAGGGTGCTTTACACTACAGTTTTTAAACTGCAACATTAACACCCCTCCTTCAGAGTGCAGGCACTGTACTTCCCATCTCCAGGACTCAAGTCCGGCCTGCCGGTTTCCCTGAACCCCTTCATAAATGTTACTTTGCTCACACTCCAACAGCACGTCAAGTATTAAAAACCATTTGTCTCCATTCACTCCTATCAAACACGCTCACGCATGCCTGCTGGAAGTCCAACCCCCTCGCAACACAAACTCCTTTAACCCCCTCCCTCCAACCCTTCCTAGGCCGACCCCCACCCCGCCTTCCTTTCCACTACAGACTGAACACTCTTTTAAGTCATTCTGTTTCGCTCCATTCTCTCTACATGTCCGAACCACCCCAACAACCCTTCCTCAGCCCTCTGGACAACAGTTTTGGTAATCCCGCACCTCCTCCTAACTTCCAAACTAACGAATTCTCTGCATTATATTCACACCACACATTGCCCTCAGACATGACATATCCACCTGCCTCCAGCCTTCTCCTCGCTGCAACATTCATCACCCACGCTTCACACCCATATAAGAGCGTTGGTAAAACTATACTCTCATACATTCCCCTCTTTGCCTCCAAGGACAAAGTTCTTTGTCTCCACAGACTCCTAAGTGCACCACTCACTCTTTTTCCCTCATCAATTCTATGATTCACCTCATCTTTCATAGACCCATCCGCTGACACGTCCACTCCCAAATATCTGAATACGTTCACCTCCTCCATACTCTCTCCCTCCAATCTGATATTCAATCTTTCATCACCTAATCTTTTTGTTATCCTCATAACCTTACTCTTTCCTGTATTCACCTTTAATTTTCTTCTTTTGCACACCCTACCAAATTCATCCACCAATCTCTGCAACTTCTCTTCAGAATCTCCCAAGAGCACAGTGTCATCAGCAAAGAGCAGCTGTGACAACTCCCACTTTGTGTGTGATCATCTACCCCTCCAGTATATGGATAGTCTCCGAACATTGCCACTAAAATAACTGGTCATTTATCAGGTTACAATCTCTGTATATAATAACCCATTTATCTGGTACATACGTACAGTGGTACCTCGAATTTTGAACAGCTCCTAACTCAAACAATTATGTAAGTGTATTTTTGTAAGTGTTTTTGTAAGTGTATTTTTGGGGGCCTGAAATGGACTAACCTTACAAACTGAACTGCCAAAGATACTTATCTAGCAGATACTAGTCTAGTAGTGACAAGGTCTTGATTTCTACTGATCTTGGTGCTTACTCCATAAACATGTTTTAAGTAACACATTTCATTATGATAGGTGATGGATCAGCTGGTTCCTGTCTGCATTCTTTTACTTTATTTGGATTCATTACCTATTTCTTTTCCAACAATGGTTTTTAAACTTGTTTGAAAACATAATATATTTTCAACTTTCTCTTTATTTAATGCTGTCTTTGCTTATTTTGCATTATTGGAGAGGCAGCTTGTTTCATGGCAGGTGGTAAGTAAATGTATAAATTTATTACAGTTCTGTTACTTTTTTTTCACAGGGTAAAAAGTTATGATTGGTCAGAGGGTGTCTTTCTTGTATGGAGGTTCAAATAGACGAGAGAGAGATGTCGTTACTCCTCACAGCATATCAATCCTACTTTTTATTGAAAAGTACACAAGGATGAGACCTAAATATTGGGAGCACAGGCCAACAGGTAAGCGTTTGTATTTGTTTCCAAAAGTTACTTATTATACAGTATATAATGACAAGCTCTTCAGTTAATACTATAGTGATAATATTCTATTGACATTTGTGGACCAAATATTACATAGCATCAGATGTTTCCAATACAGTATTATACTCGTCTAATGTACAGAACTTGAAAACTGTGTTATTGTTTGACTTATCACTGTTGTTGAACTGTTTGAATTAAAGTACGTACAGTGGATCCTCGACCAACGGCATTAATCCATTTCAGAGAGCTAGCCGTTAGTCGAATTAATTTTCCCCATAAGAAATAATGGAAATAGTTAACCCTTTGACTGTTTACGCCATATATATACAGTGGACCCTCACATACCGTTGGCATCACATAACGTTAAATCCGCATAGTGATACATTTTATCGTTAAAATTTTGCCTCGCATAGCACTAAAAAACTCGCTCAACGCTGTTCGTCCGAGACGCGTCTAATGTGCGGCCTGAGCCAGCCTCACATGTTCCGCCGGTGGCATTGTTTACAAGCCAGCCTCCACGGTAACATCCAAGCATACAATCGGAACATTTCGTATTATTACAGCGTTTTTGGTGATTTCATCTGCAAAATAAGTGACCATGGGCCCCAAGAAAGCTTCTAGTGCCAACCCTACAGGAATAAGGGTTAGAATTACTATAGAGATGAAGAAAGAGATCATTGCTAAGTATGAAAGTGGAGTACGTGTCTCCGAGCTGGCCAGGTTGTATAGTAAACCCCAATCAACCATCGCTACTACTGTGTCCAAGAAAATGGCAATCAAGGAAGCTGTTCTTGCCAAAGGTGCAACTGTGTTTTCGAAACAGAGATCGCAAGTGATAGAAGATGTTGAGAGACTCTTATTGGTGTGGATAAACGAAAAACAGATAGCAGGAGATAGCATCTCTCAAGCGATCATAAGTGAAAAGGCTAGGAAGTTGCATGAGGATTTATTAGAAAAATGTCTGCAACTAGTGATGTGAGTGAATTTAAAGCCAGCAAAGGTTGGTTTGAGAGATTTAAGAAGCGTAGTGGCATACATAGTGTGATAAATAACAAAAAAAAGGCACAATGCAGTGACTGGAACGATACACAAATAACCCGCACATAAAAGAGAGAAGCTTACGACGACGTTTCGGTCCAACTTGGACCATTTACAAAGTCACACTAACCAGAAGTGGAGCAGGACGGCTATATATGGGCAGGAAGAGGTGGTGGTAGTAGTAGTACAAGAATGGTATATAATACCGACAAGATGAAATTAAGACACATGCGCAACACCCGGGCATCCCTATCGTAGACGTTTCGCCATCCAGCCAGCCACTGGATGGCGAAACGTCCACAACAAAGACAACCAGAAGCCGCACATGTGTCCTAATTTCATCAGTAGTAGTAGTAGTAGTAGAAGGGGTAGTAGTAGTGGTAGTAGCAGGGCCGGATTAAGAAGTCTCCGGGCCCTAGGCTGTTCAAATTGGCGGGGCCCCTTTGAGTTATGGGTAAGTGAAGCGACCCTTTCCAGCTTGGGGGGTGGGGGGGGGGTCGGTGTGAGCCTGTTTAAGGTCTAATTAAATACATTCTGGCTATTTAGATTAAATTTAATAGGGAAAGTACATCAAGACAACCAAAACCATTTACCAACAGCCATTATAACTATCTTGTTAAATCATGCATTTTAAAGAGAATAAACTCAAGACAGCATAGTATTACTAGATTAGGCTATTGAAGTAGTGACATCATGTACCTATTATATTCAGCATAACCACTACAGCACTATTATTCCCTTTTTTAAATCACTGACCATTATTGTTATCATTGCATCATGCAAAAGACTATCAAATCATATAAACTCAAGAAAGAAAAAGAATTGTTTATATTCACAGGCACTTCTTAAATAAACTTTTTTTCTGGTTTTCCCATATTGGCAAAATCATCAATTATATTCTGAAATCAATATTTTCTTGTTAGATCAGACTCAATGGTCAACCCAAGGCTAGGTTACACAAATTGTCTTGGCTCATTGTTGAACGGAGCTGGTTTTTCACTCTTTTCAAAACAGAAAATGAACTTTCTCCTTCACAGTTAGCAGCTGGAAGTGTTAGGTAAAGGCGATACACTATGTCAACATTGGGAAGGGTTTGCTGAGATACCTGCATTTCTTAAATGTTTCAAAGCAGCTGAGGGTGCATTTTTTTTCGGGTGGAGTTTTAATTTCTGATTCATATACCCAGAAAAATGAACTATTTCTTCAACAAAGTGTCCTGAACATCTGCTGAAAGGTGTTGTTGCAACTTTAATGCAGCTTTTCTCAATTCTGCATCGGGCATAGTAGTAATTTTGAACAGAAATCCAAACTTGTCTTTGAGATCTGGTAGATTTCTTTTCTTTTCACCAATTCTGTAATCAGTGATCCAGAAAGACGAAGTATGTAGCTGTCTTACATTTCTGCCTGGGTAGCAACACAATTTCATTGTCTGGCTCTTCAAAAATGCGTTTCCTCTTTCCTTGACCGCTGATGATCAGCCCGGTAACTGTATCTTTCACCAGCAGTTTAGCTTTCTCTTCAAACATTTCAAAAGCTTCATAATTGCGAAGTGAGCTTACAAATTCCACTAAGCCTGCATAAGGTTAGCACAAGTAGCCATTTCAATTTAAATTTTCTGAAGTGTCTTGTTCGTGGCATTTAACCGTTCCAGTATACAGTACCCAAAGCACACACAGTAAGGCCAATTCAAAATCTTCCAATTTTGATGCTAAGCGGGCTGCTTCGCTTCTGTAGTTGCTGGTCTGGTCTTCATCCTCTGCTATTTGGATCAAAGCAGAACGTATTTCAGCAAAGCTGTCTTTCAAAGCATGTGTTTCATCATGCTGCGCTGTACCCCCCTTGTTGTTGATAATGATTTGATGACATCTCCATGAATGGTTGACTCGAGTATACTCCACCGATGCATTGAAGCAGAGAAAAAATTAAAGAGTGCTTGTAAAAGTCCAAAAAATGAAACTGCAGCGACACAACACTCCACAGCACATGACCCAACAAGATTAAGAAAAATATGCTGAGCAGGGCACATATTCAGCGAGTGGGTTGATTTGCTTGATACGGGCTTGCAATCCATTATTTTTTACCCACATGTTACTTGCATTGTCGTAGCTCGGGCCACGGCAATCCATAATAGAGAGATCATTTCAAGCAGAGAAATCCAGTACTACATTCATCATTGTTTTCTCCATCATGGCCTGAAAGAGGAAATGAATTTTCTGAAGCGCTCTACAGGCTTACCACTGGAGTCGACAAAGCGAACAATGAATGTCAATTGATCTGTATGTGAAATATCTGGTGTTGAATCTACACTTATTGCAAAGTATTTTGCAGTTTTCACAGCTGCTATGATGTTATTGGGAGGACCTTCTTAGTCATCAGTTCAATAAATTCATTGCATATAGTAGATGACATGTAAGATACAGTGCCTCTTCCTGCATTCCCAAGGCGTGACACATGATTTGCTAAGAATGGATCGAATTGTGCTAACAGTTCTATGATCCCTAGGAAATTGCCATTGTTTTCCGAACCAAAAACCTCATTTTCTCCACGGAAAGAAAAGTCCTCTTAGAGCTAAGAATTTTACAACAGCAACAACTCTTTCTAGAACTTTTCTCCAATAATTTGCGCTCTTTTTCAGTTTGATTTTCCAAATGAGAACCCAAATAAGCCTTTTTTCTGTGCACGAAATACACTGGCTAAAATGTCAGCTCCTGTGAGTGGTGCTGTTTTCATGTTCCTTGAAATGCTTGGAATTTTTCCAGTCATTGAACCCCTGGGGTGAAGGGATAATTTTCTTTGGTAGAAAATAGCTTGCTGCTGAACAGTACACTTTTCTTGAGCTTTCAGAGTATACCATCCATGATCTTTTCACAGTTTCTGAATTTGCAAGCTTCCTATAAAACATAGATGACTTTAAACAACGACGACTTCCATCATCATAAATCCTTGCTGATTTCCTAAAGTCAATGTTCAGAGTTTTTACTGAAGCTTTCTGCAATGAAAGCATTACGTAGAGAATCTGGGATTACATTTTGGGCCCTGAGGCAGGATCTTTTAAGACAAATCCTGTGGAATTTAAATGTCTGTTGAGACATTTGGGGGAGACACAAAAGAAGTAGATGCTGGCTGAGAAATAATGGAGGGAGGCTTTTCCCGTATGAATCTGACGTATCTGCAGATTCAACTGTACTGGTAACATCAGAAACGTTTTCGTGAGCATGTCTGTGATCTTTCTGCAGCTTCCTACATCTTTCTTTTTCTGTTCTTCTTCTTTAAATTTTCTTTCTTTTCTGTGACCCACTCGCATAAGAACGTCCAACATCACGTTCACGAGATGCCATAAAGAGGATGTATCACTGTCCCGTAATCATGCAAATACAAATTTTTCATTATCAATTATTATTAATTTTTTAAATTATAATTTTTTTTTTTCTGTCAATTGGGGGGGTATGGCCCTTGTAGCCCCCTTTCCTCTGGCTGCGCATCTAAAATTCAAAACGTTACCAGAAAGGAGTCATATACAGAACTTTTACCATAGATTAGGTTAGTGATTTGGGCTACAAATATTTTACTAATTCATCCTTCTTGATCTCCCAATTTAAATTAAACAGAAATCATACCGAGTCCAAGAACAATGCACAGTGGTATTTATATTACCATTTTCATAACTAAAACTAATCATTATGCTTTGCATGATATATGGCGTACCACCATAGATAAGGACATGAGAATAAAGAATGCCCGGGGCAATTTTCAGTTTCCACCCAACCAACGATTTTTTGATATGGCTTATGTGTTTCTGGGAAAATATGTAGTAAATTAATTGATGTTCAAATCACTTCCGTCGCAAACTTGAAAACTAAGCATTTGTGACGGAAGTGATGTAGAACAATCAATTGAGATCTGTTATAGAAATGATAAAGACTTAAAGACAGGACAAAAAT